TTTACCGAATGTACACTCCACCTCCCTCTACAGAGCCTGTTATAGGCTTCGACTGCTGGAGGGCATACTGACCACTTTCCACACTCTTACGTTTTTCTACAATCTGCTCTTTAACTGTATTATTTCCTGCTATTTCAGCTGTTAACTTTATTTTTTCTCTAAGTGTTTTTCTCCCCAGAAGAAGCTACAATGATGTTCTGCTGAGCCGTGGTGGCCTCATGGAGGGGGCCATCGTCTAGCACACCGCTGCTAACCACTTAAATATTCTCCCTCTCCTGATAATAACATTTTACTCTCTTTGACGTTGAATGTGCTACTACTAGTTTACCTGTTGACTTAATTATAGATTCACTAGGATAAATACAATAAAGTTTAGATCTTACTAAATAGAACATTTACTAAGAAATTCACAGTGTAACCATAGAAACATTACTTGGTATATATGTTGTGTGTGTGTGTGTGTGTGTGTGTGTGTGTGTGTGTGTGTGTGTGTGTGTGTGTGTGTGTGTGTGTGTGTGTGTGTGTGTGTGTGTGTGTGTGTGTGTGTGTGTGTGTGTGTGGACAGAGAATTCTGCTGTAGTGTCCTTGGGCAAGACATATAACCCTCCCTGCCTGCTGATGTTGGTGAGAGGGACTGGTGGCGCCTGTGCTCGGCAGTTTGTCCCAGGGCAGCTGTGGCTACAATGCAGCTCATTACCATCAGCATGTTAAGGTTTGTGAAAGGATGAATGATACACTGTTTTGGAGTCTTCTGACTCTGAAAGGCGCTATACAAGTAAAGGTCATTTATCATAATTTGGACTCCAATTCACACAAAAAACTACAAAACATAATAGGCAAATCATCCAGAATATAGGCCACACCCTGCCTTCCATTGACACACTGTACCAAAGATACATCACACAAAGAGCAAGAAAATTCACCCTTTTATCCAGCTCAGTGGCCTAATGGTATGAGTTTCCACCCTGAGGCTTGTAGATTGTGGGTTCAAATCCACCGAGTATTACAAAAGACTAAAAGAAACTAACCCTTTCAGTACTGCTTGATGGCAGTCAGATTTCATATAAGATAGATTTCATGCATCAGTTTGGTGTGACATAAAATCAAAGCTTTGAGTAAAGTTTGTGGCATGGATTTACGACTCTTTTGTAAGGGCTGCAAAAAGCAATAAAACGAGATGTGGGTAGAACCTGTTAGTGATGATGCCCACAAGAATATTGTAGCATAGAATAAAGCATAACACTACTGCGTCCCTCCTTGAACCGTCACCTTATCGTGGTGGAGGAGTTTGAGTGCCCTAATGATCCTAGGAGCTATGTTGTCTGGGGCACTTTGTGCCCCTGGTAGGGTCTCCCATGACAAATTGGTCTTAGGTGAAGGGTGAGACAAAGGACAATTCACAGGATCTTTCATGGAAGTAAATTCAAAGAGTCGGAGTACCTGGCCCGGAGGGTTACCGGGGTCCCACCCTGGAACCAGGCCTGGGGTTGGGACCCGTGAGCGAGCGCCTGATGGCCGGGCTATCGCCCATGGGGCCCGGCCGGGCCTAGCCCGAACCGGATACATGGGCTCATCCAACAGTGGACCCACCACCCGCAGGAGGAACATGAAGGGTCCGGTGCAATGTGGATCGGGTGGCAGACCAAGGCAGGAGCCATGGCGGTCCGATCCCCGGACAAGAAAACTGGTCTTTGGGACATGGAACGTCACCTCACTGGCGGGGAAGGAGCAGGAGCTCGTGGCAGAGGTTGAGCGGTACCGGCTAGATATAGTCGGACTCACCTCGACCATAGCATTGGCTCTGGAACCCAAGTCCCTGAGAGGGGTTGGACACTCTCCTTTGCTGGAGTTGCTCCGGATGAGAGGCGGAGGGCTGGGGTTGGCTTTTTGTTAGCCCCAAGACTCTCTGCCTGTGTGTTGGGGTTTACCCCGAAGGGACGAGAGGGTAGCTTCCCTGCGCCTTCGGGTCGGGGAACGGGTCCTGACTGTTGTTTGTGCTTATGGGCCAAATATCAGTTCAGAGGACCCACCCTTTTTGGAGTCCCTGGGACGAGTGCTAGATAGTGCTCCATCAGGGGACTCCATTGTCCTGCTGGGGGACTTCAATGCTCATGTGGGCAATGACAGCTTGACCTGGAGGGGTGTGATTGGGAGGAACGGCCCGCCTGATCTGAACTCAAGTGGTGTTTCGTTATTGGACTTCTGTGCAAGCCGCAGTTTGGCCATAACGAACACCATGTTCGAACATAAGGATGCCCATCGGTACTCTTGGTACCAGGGCAGCCTAGGTTGCAGGTCGATGATAGACTTTGTAGTCGTATCATCTGACCTGCGGCCATATGTTTTGGACACCCGAGTGAAGAGAGGAGCGGAGCTGTCAACTGATCACCATCTGGTGGTGAGTTGGATCAGATGGCAGGGGAATATGCTGCATAGACCTGGCAGACCCAAACGCATAGTGAGGGTCTGCTGGGAACGCCTGGCAGAAGAACCTGTTAAGACGGTCTTCAAATCCCACCTCCAGCAGAACGTTGACCGCATCCCGAGAGCAGTGGGGGACATTGACTCCGAGTGGGCCTTGTTCCCCTCTGCGATTTTGAGGTGGCTGTTGCTAGCTGTGGTCGCAAGGAGGCTGGTGCCAGTCGTGGTGGCAACCCCCGTACCCGCTGGTAGACACCAGAGGTTCGGGGAGCCGTCAGGCTGAAGAAGGAGGCCTACAGGGCGTGGCTGGTCTGTGGGTCTCCGGAGGCAGCAGACAGGTACCGGATAGCCAAGCGGGATGCAGCAGTGACAGTTGCCGAGGCAAAATCTCGGGCGTGGGAGGAGTTTGGTGAGGCCATGAAGAAAGACTATCGATTGACTCCAAAGAGGTTCTGGCAAACTGTCCGGTGCCTCAGGAGAGGAAGGCAGCAACTCGCTCACACTGTTTACAGTGGGGATGGGGATCTGCTGACGTCAACTGGGGCTATAGTCAGACGGTGGAAGGAATACTTTGAGGAGCTGCTCAATCCCACCTATGCACATTCCGAGGAGGAACCAGAGGTGGGGATGGACTGTCCAATCTCGGGGGCAGAAGTTGCTGAGGTAGTCAAACAACTACACAGCAGCAGAGCCACGGGGGTGGATGAGGTTCGTCCTGGGTATCTCAAGGCTATGGATGTTGTAGGGCTGTCGTGGTTGACAAGTCTCTGCAACATTGCGTGGTCATCGGGGGCAGTTCCTGTGGAGTGGCAGACCAGGGTGGTGGTCCCAATCTTTAAGAAGGGTGACCTGAGGGTGTGTTCCAACTATAGGGGAATCACACTCCTCAGCCTCCCTGGAAAGGTCTACTCCAAGGTACTGGAGAGCAGGGTCCGATCGATAGTTGAATCTCAGATTGAGGAGGAGCAATGTGGTTTTTGTCCTGGCCGTGGAACTGTGGACCAGCTCTATACCCTTGCAAGGGCGATGGAGGGGGGCATGGGAGTTTGCCCAACCAATCCACATGTGTTTTGTGGATTTGGAGAAGGCTTATGACCGTGTCCCCAGGAGCACCCTGTGGGGGACGCTCCAGGAGTATGGGGTGGGTGGCTTTCTGTTAAGGGTCATTCAGTCCTTTTACCAGAGGAGCGTGAGTTTGGTCCGCATAACCGGTAGTATGTCGGACCTGTTCCCAGTGAGGGTTGGATTCCGCCAGGGCTGCCCTTTGTCACCGGTTCTGTTCATTACCTTTATGGACAGAATTTCTAGGCACAGCCCTGGTGTGGAGTGTGTCGAGTTTGGTGGCAGGAGAATTTCGTCTCTGCTTTTGCGGATGATGTGGTCCTCCTGGCTTCATCCAGCTCTGACCTTCAGCTCTTGCTGGGTAGGTTCGTGGCTGAGTGTGAAGTGGCTGGGGTTAGGATCAGCACCTCCAAATCTGAGACCATGGTTCTCGACCGGAAAAGCGTGGCTTACCAACTCCGGGTCGGGGGAGAGGTCCTACCTCAAGTGGAGGAGTTTAAGTATCTCGGGGTCTTGTTCACGAGTGAGGGTAGGAGGGATCGAGAGATCGACAGGCGGATGGGTTCAGCGTCTGCAGTGATGCAGACGCTGAGCCGATCTGTTGTGGTGAAAAGGGAGCTGAGCCAGAAAGCCAGGCTCTCGATTTACCGGTCGATCTACGTCCCAATCCTCACCTATGGTCATGAGCTTTGGGTAATGACCGAAAGAACGAGATCGCGGATACAAGCGGCCGAAATGAGTTTCCTCCGTAGGGTGGCCGGGCTCAGCCTTAGAGATAGGGTGAGGAGCTCGGACATTTGGGAGGGACTCGGAGTAGAACCCCTGCTCCTCCGGATCAAAAGGAGTCAGTTGAGGTGGTTTGGGCATCTGGTCAGGATGCCACCTTGACGCCTCCCTGGGGAGGTGTTTCGGGCATGTCCTGCCGGCAGGAGGCCCCCAGGTCGACCCAGGACACGTTGGAGAGGTTACATCTCCAATCTGGTCCGGGAACGCCTTGGGGTCCTGCCGGAGGAGCTGGAGCTGGTGGAGAAGGCCGGGGAGAGGACGGTCTGGAGCTCCCTAGTTGGGATGCTGCCCCCACGACCCAGACCCGGATAAGCGGAGGAAGACGATGACGACTACTGCGTCCCCTCACTACTAGAGAACTGGGAGGCCAGAGAAGCCCTGGTGGATGTTCCTTATTTTCATTTCAGAAAGTTGACAACCCTACCTAAACCCCACAAACCTTGTCCATGGTTACTTTGTGTCCAGATGTGAAAATTGGCACGTAGGTCCACAGAAATGTGCAACTTATTTGCAGATTCTCCATGAGTCCAAAAACTGTATTAAAGTATTTGAAATTTTTTATAAATAATGGATGATCATTTATTGGTATTTTTTTCAACTTTCAGATAGCTTCATGTGAAAAACAATCAAACACAACAAAAAAGCGGTGACTAAGATGGAATGAGGTTAGGACAATACGGTTTTCTCCACATGTGTCAAGTGAGATTTGAACCGTTAAATTTTGTGCATACCGTGGGTTCAAGGCTGGTGGCTCCTGTAACAATCACATTGTGCTGAGACTGATTTCTACGATGTCGGGATATCTGAAGAAGAAAATGTACTTTAAAACAGAACATGACCATATTTGATGCTTTTCACTATACCTACAGGTTTTGGAGGAAGGTCCGAGTCCTGCAGCACCATAGATTTGGACTGACTGAGGCGGTCTTGAGAGCTCTGAGAGTTTTGTATCCTCATCTGAACTGCTCCTTGTGCAACCGAACTGTGTTGAGGAGTTTGAGCCACAGGCATCTGCTTCACAGCATTCTGCAGGTTTGCAACCCTGTGCACAAATCTGCCAATCATTTATTTATTCTGAGAGGGGGGATCACCTCATAATCTGTGGGTTGCTAGTTTGAACCCTGTGATGTAGTGCATCACCACCAGTGTGTGAATGAATGGGTAAATTATTCACTGTAGTGTAAGCTCTTTGAAGTCATCTGACTCAGGAAGGCACAATACAAATACAATTATTTGCCCTTCAGTCATTATTTTGTTTTTTAGATTAGTAAGATCTAACACTGAGAAAAAAAATCTGCAACTATATATTGTTTAGAATGTTATAATATAAAAATTAAGCAAACCACCCTGAATTTTAAAACTTTTTTTTTTTTTAGATTGAACAGAATATGCTAATGTTAGGTGTCTTTACATGAGGAGACAGGACAAAAACTGTTTTTATTTATTTTTTGAAAACTCCTTTTAAAATTCTATAATAATACTATTAATAATAGAAGTGTGCATAAAAAGCACACATGACATGTGAGTATCATGTTTTTAGTTTTTATTAGACTTTCTAACCAAACCACCAACCGTAAAAATCCTGGGCAGTGTGGCTTCCTGCATTTATTGTGCACTTATTATAAAGTGTTACCAAAGCTTCTAATGTTCTCATGAGACCAGTTCTTTTCTTTGGTTTTCATTGGTTTCCTGTTTTAAACTACTAATGTTCTGCTAAACATTTCTCCATTTTCTTCTGCTATATTAAGACCGATGCCTTAAATTACTCCTCTAAACTGCCTAAATTGCACATTATTGCCTGTATAAAACTCCTCTTAACACACACACACACACTCTAGAAAGGTGTCAATTTTAAAATAAAGACCATCCTTTGTGATGATGTTTAGCATTATTATGGTAATATTAATAAAAATAAATGCTTTTAGGAATAAAAGTAGATTAAGTTTGAATTCAACTGATCAGGGAGTAAATATAATCAATAATAATATAATACAATTTACTCAAAGGTAAACAGTAATTAATTATTTAATTAAAGATCACATGAAAATCTTTTAAATATTGATAATGCTAACCCTTACCCTAATAATAATGGACTGATTTTGTATAGTGCTTTTCAAGTCACTCAAATTGCGTTACAGGCAATATACTATAAATTCATACTCTGCTTGTGATGGTAAATCACACTGTACAAACAGCTGCACTGGTACACTGACAATATATCTTAATTTTTGGATTATCAAAATGAAAATCACGCTCTTCAAATGGTTTCGTCCTTGGTCTGACCCACACCAAAAGCACAGAGTACTAATTCTTACAGGAAACAAATGGAAGTCCTCCAAACAACAGAAGCAGCTTCTTCACTTTTGCATCAGGTTTTCAAAAACCATCTTTGCATAAAAGGACAGATTGTAAATTATCCCTAAACAGTCAAATGTAACTTCTTACAATGTTCTTTAAAAGTAAGGCTGTAGTTTTTAGTTTATGGGGGAAAGGGTGTGTACAAGTTCCACACTGAGCCTAAAGCTGTTGTACTGGTTATAAAAATGCAGTTGGAAGTTCTGAACACACAAAAAGTAATATATTTTTCAAAATGTCAAAGATCTGAAACAGACATTTAGATTTTCCATACATTCTTACCTCATTCCCTCCATCACCATGTGTCTCAAATGTAAATGAAGAAAGGAAGGCCTCAGTCAGAGAGGAAGTATGAGTCATCACGTGGTTTCTTCAAACCAGCTGTCTCTCAAATAAGCTGCTGCAACGTCCCCATTTCCTGTAAATGAAGAAAAAAAATAGCTGAACTCCTTTAACAGTTTTACACTTTTTGGGCTATAATAGAGTTTTCCAACCTGAAATATATTGTTTTGTCATTAAAACAATGTTTAATAATGCCACATTTGAAACTGGAAAACATCATATTTTAAAGTAAATTAAATCAAATTAATTTATATAATGCCAAGTCAAACAAGAGTTGTATCAAGGCACTTTACAAAGTGAAACATTTCAACTGTTCAGTTCATTATGCCAGTTTCCAAAATAAGGAACCCAGCAGATTGCACAGTGTCAGTGACTTTACAACAATTCTGATACTAAAAGTGTGTAGCAACAGCAGAGAGAAAAGCCACCTTTTGACAGGAGGAAACCCCCAGTACATTCTGGGTCAATATGAGCAGCCATCTGCCACAACTCACTGGGATTTGAGAAGACAGGGCAGACACATACGTGCACGCATGCATGCACGCACACACACAATGTATATAAACAGTAGTGTTTCTATGGCGACATTGGGTTACGTTTGGGGTGAAAGGTAATGTCGCCGAAGGCAATAAAAACCTTAAGTGCACAGGCACTCCTGGCATTCAGTCCACCAATACATGCTCAGGCTATCCCCACACGAGCGCCCGCAGCTCCCCAAGTAACTGTATTCCGTTTTAAATGATGAATTATGATTTTTATGAATCCTTCTTTCATTCCCTTACCTTCTATTAATTGGCAATCGATTTGCTCCTCTCTGCTTTTAAAGTTGCCTCCATCCAAGTTTGGCTGTGCGTTTCTGGACACTGGAATCCCTCTTTGGCTTATTATGTAAGTATTTGTTCTTATTCATAAGTTCCCTTCACTGCAACATATTAATTTAGTTAGGCACCCCCTCGTCTTGTCCTTTCTATGAGTTTGGCTTGCTTTATATGTCCCGGTCTAGGATTGAGTCCCGCCTTTTGAAACTTCGGTTATCCCTAATGGTTCTTATAATTAATGAGGTTTTTGAGGGGTGATGAGTTGTTTAAAGAGAGCAAGGGTTAGGTTTAGGATAAAAGGTTTTATCAACCTTGAATGCACTGGCACTCCTGGCGGTTAGTCCACCATAACATGCTCGGGCAATCCCCACACGAGCGCCCACAGCTCCCCAAGTAACTGAATTCAGTTTTGAATTATGATTTGTATGAATCCTTCTTTCATTCCCTTACCTTCAATTAACTGACGTTCAATTTGCTCCTTTCGGCTTTTAAAGTTGTCCCCATCCCACTTTGGCTACGCGTTTCGACACTCTTCGATCTTCATCAGGCCACTGGAATCCCTCTTTAGCTTCTTAGAGGTAAGTATTTGTGCTCATTCCTCTTTTCCCTTTTTGCAACATATTTATTTAGTTAGGCACTCCCTTTATCTTTTTCCTTCCTTCCATGTGTTTGCCTTGCTTTATATACCCTGGCCTGGGCTTAAGCCCCGCCCTCTTCAAAACTTTGGGCACTCCTATTGGGTCTTATTTATTGTCCAGTTTGGCTTTGTTAAATATTAATAAAACTGATTTTTAAGGGGTGACAAGGGTTAGGTTCAATAGATATAACTCAGTGAATTCCCCCTGAGTCAGTCCAGTGACCGAAACAGTTTAATTAGGGAATCACTGGCAGTGCACGGGCTGCCGCATGTCACTCAGAAACCCCTTTCCATTGTTGGTTTTTCCAGATTGAGAGCGAGAGAGAAGTAGAGCAAGAGATAGCAAAAGAGAGTATAGAGACCAGGGGCCTCATTTTTCAAGCTTGCTTATGGACAAAACGGGGTCGGAAAACTGCGTAAGCAACTTTCCACGCAAACTTTGGGATTTATGAAAGAAAACTTAGCGGAAAAATGTGCGCAACTTTAAGTTGACTAAGGATCTGGCTTACGCACATTTTGGACATGGAGAGCACCTGCAGTGCTGCTGCTGAGAAGGATAAAATGATGAAATCCTGCAGCATTATCACTTGTACCGCTTCGTTTTGAAGCAATAAAAGCAAATCAATTGGAAACATGGTGCAAATATCGCAAAATAAGGAACATTGTAACTAAACTGAATAAAAACCAAAAACAATTATATTATCATAGAAGAATCACAGAAGCTAAATTAGATAATGCAAAGGCGCGGGGTACATTAAATTAACTTATGAGGGTTCAAAAAAGGAAGGCACCTACTCTTCTAGAGGCAGATGAATTTTTTTAACCAAACCAAAAGAAATAGCTGATGATTTAAAACTGTTTTTATCAATAAAATTAAAACATTGCATAATTACAGGGAGGAAAGATAAGATGAAAATACATTTTATCAAAGAATTAAGGATGTTATAATTCAAATGAAAGACTGTGCGTTTGTTTATGGAGGTGTCAGAGGATTACGTTAAAAAATTAATCTTAAATAGTAAAGATAAACCCCCTGGAATGGACAATATTGATATAAGATTGCTAAAATTGGTGGTAGATTTTATTTTACTGCCAGTTTCACATATAATTAACATAAGTTTTAGGAAAAGTCTTTTTCCAGCCCAATGGAAAAAGACAAAAGTAATTCCATTAATCAAGAATAACAGAGAATCACCGCCTGGCAAAAATAATCGGCCAATAAGTTTGTTATCAGCATTAAGCACATTTTTGGAAAAAGTAGCATATGAACAAATACAAGAATATTTTATAACAAATAGATTAAACACAATTTATCAACATGCATATAAGGCGGGTCACTCCACTACTACTGCACTTGCTCAGATTACTGATCATTGGTTAGGAGAAATAAATGATAAAAAGTTAGTTGGTACTATATTTTTAGATTTGAGTGCAGCTTTTGATGTGATTGATTATAAAATGTTATTAAAAAAATTAGAACGTTATAGATTTCAGTCGTCCTCCATTAAGAGGACAGAAAGTTATTTAACAAATCGTGAATTTAACTTCTATTTTAATGGCAGTTATTCTGAAACAGGTCAGTTAGATTGTGGAGTGTCACAGGGCAGTTGTTTGGGCCCTCTTTTGTTTTCTATTTTTATTAATGACTTACCTTTGATTTTAAAACATGCAATCATGGCTATATATGCAGATGACACTACATTATTTAAATCAGCAAAAACAGAAGGCCAATTAAATGATATTTTTAAAAAGGAGTTGGATTTTGTTACACAATGGATTAGAATGAACAAACTAGAAACCAATGCAGAAAAAACTAAATGTATGATAGTTGGAAATAAATAGGGTGTGTCCGAATCCACAGGAAGGATGCTTGAAAGAGTGCGATGATGTCACAGCGCAGCGACGAGTACTGTCCGAATTCCAAGAATACTCATTCTCGCGTCCTCAAATGCGTCCTCGCTCCGCCCACATTTCGAGGACGGGTCTGTTGTATCCTTACAGAACGAAGCTATGCCAGCATGATTTGCGTGCCGGCTGTGGATTTTCAACAGGAAGAGAAAATGGGGAGAGCTACGAAGTTTTAAACATAAGTTTGTTAAAAACTAGCCGTAGAAACCTAAAAAGCTTAAAGCTGTTCCGTTTATAGACATTTTTCGTTTGTATATTTGTTTATTAAATTACATTTTAGGCAGAAATCAGCCAGAACGAGTTTGTCCCAGGGTCCCAGTTATTCCTGTGTGTGTGTGTGTGTGTGTGTGTGTGTGTGTGTGTGTGTGTGTGTGTGTGTGTGTGTGTGTGTGTGTGTGTGTGTGTGTGTGTGTGTGTGTCTAATTAAACTTGTCATTTGTTTTAAGGACAACGGAGCAAAGAAGCGTTTTTATTAAGCTTAGAGGTGAAGAGTGAAGCTGTTTACACAAAACCACAGAAGTTCTTCTGTGAAAAGTAGTTTGACATTCAGGGATTTACACAGCTGACACGTTATAATGAAGTAAAAAGTTTGTGTGAAGAATATAATTTCTATCTTCTCATGTGGATAAATGTACACATGTGTTTATTGCCTTTTTGTCACCTGTGGTCTGATTTTCTCTGTAGGACTGCAGGTGTCTAGGGTCAGGAGAGGCTTTACCTGGTGGTCCTCCTGGGAGAGAGGCCTTCTACTGTCATCATGTTAATGTTATTTAGCTGTTTGATATTTGAACACGTTTACTAAAACAAATACTAACTGATAACTCTTTCTGGTCATTGATTTTATCACCAGTTTTATTATTACAGATGTTTTTCAACATGTTACATGAACAGAAAATGAAAAGATGGTAAGGAGACAAGATTATTTATAATACGTTACACGTATTTACAGATCAAAACCAGTATGGACCAGTTATGTACGGTTAAAGCAGGATTAACCTGAGTGACTCTTCCTGGATCATTTATTTAAACTGAGTGAGCAGGAAGTCTTAAACAGTGCAGCTGGATCTGCTGCAGGAGGATCCAGACGTGGATGGAGGGCTGGAGCAGACCCGTGGCTGGACGTTTCTGGCCAGAGGAACATCATACAGGACGGTCTGCAGAGAAAGCTGTGGGACGCTTCTTCTCACTGTCCACTCCATCGTCCATCTACAGGGCCTGCTGGGCTGGCTCAGACGACGGCTGTTACATCTCTATGAATGACTTGCCTGTTAACAGTAGTGGTGGTCTGCTGGGACCTCCTCCACACACATCTTCCTCAGGCTCATCCTCCAGACCCACAACTTCAGCACAGAGGCAGATGTGCAGCACAGTGCACGCTGACCTGTAATAGATTAAATAAGTTTTTTTAATAGAAAAATGTAAAACAAAACATATAACCTGCAGTACACTGGTTCTGTTCAGTTTAAAGAAAAGCAGCAGGGAAAACTACAGAGAATTTACATTTTTAAGACAAATCTAATCATTATTAGGCTTAAGTTGAATAAACAAATGCACATTGAAAACACTTCAATGCTATTTTATTAAAAAGCCTGTTTTTTTAACGTTTTACCCTCATTTGATGCAAAATAAGTTCTACGGTCCAATTAACATTAGGAAACATCCTGCTGCATTCAACATTTATAATGCATTTGGTTTATATTAATTACTTACATGATAATACTCTGTAGTAATGTGTTGTGTACGTTTAACAAGTTCATTCTGTAGCTTAAAACATACATGAAACCATCTAAAGTTAACATGTAAGTCCTGAAAGCTTCTAGAATAAACAAAGTTACTTTACCTGAAAACGGTTGTGAACAAACGCTGCTGATGGACGTGAAGCTGCTGTAGCTCCTTAATATTCCTGCTCCATTTTCGCTAGCTTTAGCATTTTTCCGTTGCGTGTAGCTGCCGCCACGGCTGTGACGGGACCTACGGGTCACCGTAGAGGTGAAGGCTAGACTGTCCGAATTCAGAGCCACTGACTTCCAGTTTTAGCGGTCTTCAAGGACCCGGTCTTGCTAGACCGGCGAGGACCCGTACTCATAAGCATCCTTCCCGTGGATTCGGACATTCGGAGTGTCGTAACTCTCTCTACAGCTCGAGTATTATTGTACAGCTCTGCCCTCCTCTCCCAACGATTGGACAGGAATTCGAGAAACGTGATTGGTAGCCAAGACTCGTGCTCTCATTGGTTCCACCCAAGTTCCTCCCACTGACGCTAGAATCGAGACAAAAAGATTCGTAACACTGTAGGATTTGAGGTGTGTACCTGTAGAATGAAATGTGTGTTTTGAGAGTTTTGATTTCAAACTTGTACCTTGATTTTTTCAATTTGGAAGTCTGCTAGTTACAAAACGAAAGTTTCATGTTTCTGAATGAATGTTTGATGTTACAAAATGAGTAGTAAATGTACAAAATAAAAGTTTGATTTGACAAAATAAAAAATACATGTACAAAATACAATTTTCCTGTTAGAAAACAAGAAATACAAGTACGAATTGAGAATTACAAGTTAGAAAACTAAAGTTACAAGTTAGGAATCCAGAGTTACAAGTTACGAATCCAAAGTTACAAGTTACGAATCCAAAGTTAAATGTGATGAAACATGTTCGAAGTTACAAAACTTGGTACAAGTTACGCTGAATATTGTCCCAATCCTAGTTCCATAATTCTGTAGCTTAAAACATACACGAAACCATCTAAATTTAACAAGTAAGTCCTGAAAGCTTCTAGAATAAACAAAGTTACTTTACCTGAAAACGGTTGTGAACAAACGCTGCTGATGGACGTGAAGCTGCTGTAGCTCCTTAATATTCCTGCTCCATTTTCGCTAGCTATATATACAATATAATTAACAAAATATGGATGACAAGAACAAACCATCCATTAGAACTGACTGTTAGTGATGTTCTGATTCTGTTGGATTTTTTTGTTTCTCCCTTTCTGCAGATCTAGAAGCTGCTTCTTATTCATCATTTATTGTTTGTTTTTGTGAACTCTCCCCATCTCTTCCTTTCCTCTTCCCTGTTCTCTTTCATCTCTGTCTCCTTTGGGAT